GGTGACAAAAAGACGCCTAAATGGATCCTTCTTTTCCACACTTCCTTTATTCAGGTGTATAGGTACTTATTCACTCTGTGTGTGTGTGTGTGTGTGTGTGTGCGTGTGCGTGCGCATTTTTTCACCTACTGTCTCATCTCACAGCTTTATAATTGGACAATGCTTCACAATCTTCATGTTTATTCATTTATCCCATTGTATACATTAGTTATTGACCTTTTCGTAACAATGCAATAAAAATTAATGAGACACAGAAGTCCAGAAACAAGATCTTTGTGTGTTCCAGCTCTAGAGGACCACGCTCCAGAGACGGACGAGATCTCTTCTGCACTGTCCTTCAGAGTTGCAGAGATGTCTTATTTGTTGCCCCTGACTCACACCCCCCAGTATCCCATCACTGGTCCAGGATTTGCCCTCCTTTCTCTCACTCCTGTCTATGTTTCTTGATTTATTTACTTTCAATTGACTAATAATAACAATATAATTTTACATAATCACACTAACCCAAGAACAAGGCTCTTAAGTCTCCCTAACATCTGTTTGTAGAATAATTTCCCCCCACAACTCTGTCTTTCATTAATCAATGTTAGTGTTGCATAAACCCATTAAGGAACATATGTTCCCCATGAACCCCATAGTGGGCCATGGTTAACTTCTTTCATTATACTTAATAAATTTTTGGAACAATACAGTTAATATTCTTCAACAAGTCACCCAACACCAAGACAAGAGCTTAGACTATTACTCACACTGGTATCCACACTCCTCACACAGAGTTCTTGGCCATGAAGTATTAAATCAGCTTGGTGCATTCACTCTGAGTATAAGCAATACAGATAATAAAAGATGGAGACATTCTTGCCATAAATACATGCTTTTCTCATTTCATTTTCTTAGTCATTTAGATATTTACTCTGGAGTGTGATTATTTCTTTTTCTCTAAAGTAATGAACCACTCAAACTTACGATGACTGAAAGCAAGAACAGAGACTACTATACATCACCATCTTTATCATTCCTATGCAAAAACCTAACCCCTTGGTCCATTTATTACTTAAGAAACTCCTATGGTTCCAAGTTATATTAATAATAATTTTTGCCTCATCACATATTTTCATAGTTTGATAACCCTCACACTTTTTATCTCTCTACAGAGATATTTGTTTATCCTTTCACTTATTCTTAAGATAATGAAATTAAAATCCACAGAGCACCCAAGGCTGAGATATGATCCTTAAATGTTACTGAAGTGAACCCATAGTCTCATTCCTACAGATATACACCCTGAAGTTCCTGTTCACAATGGACCTCAGAAGGTCGTAGATGCTTTGATCATAACATGTCGCTCAGAATGCATTCCACTCACATCATTGGTCCATGGCTGGCCTTTCTCATTAATCCGTATATCCTTTCTAATACAGAATGAACCAGCAGACCCGAAACACTGACCAGTACTTGCATCTCCCATGCGCTTTCCTCAGGATGAAAAGAGGGCACATCTTCATCAATTGAGGAATTTTAGAGAAAATCTAAAACAGAAATTTAAAGAGCCATGAAAATGAATGATGTGTTCTTGATCTATTTTTCAAATCATCCTAAACAATACTAAATCAAATTAATCCTTTTGTGGGAGGAGGTTAATCATCGTTACTACAAGCCTGTTGTGGTTGGACTGTATTCATGTATGTAGCCATTTACCCATTTTAAATATATCTTCCTAAACTAGAGGTCACCTAGAGACCTCAGTCTTTCCAGAATGCTTAAATCGGTTCTGGGACACCCACTGTGTCAAGACAAAGAAGCTGTTGAAAGAATGAGACATTTTCTACACTGAACTATAGTTTTTCCTTTCATTTACTTAGACTTTTAGTTAGTTATTAATTAACGTATGCATTCTCTTATTTTTCTGATCAGAGGAAGGACATCATCCATTCAGACTCTATCGAAATGTTGTTGCCCACGAGGCAGCATCAGAATTTGGGAACATATTAGAAACACAGATTCTTGGACCAATCCTACCGAAACAGAAACACGGAGGGTGGGGCCCACAGTCTGTATTTTATTTTTATTTATTTATTTTTGGGGGGGGGGGTACGTGCCCTTAGCGGGAACCAAACCTGGGACTCTCTGGTCCGCAGGCCGACGCTCCAAACGCTGAGCTAAACCGGCCAGGGCCTCACTCTGTATTTTAACCTGCCCTCCAGTGATTCTGATGCTCAAGTTTGAGGACCACGCCTCTGTATTACCTTAACCCGAACAGGTAACACCATTAAGCTCTTGCTTTCTTAATACACTGCAGTTTCAGAATCATATGAAAGTAACTGTCTCACAACGTTTTTCTCTTAATTAAGCCAGCTTTGTTTTTTCATCTTTTTATCTACCTATCTATCTAACCTCTCTATGACTCTTTCATTAGTTCCCTAAGAAAAATACCAGAAATCTCCAGGGTCCATTGAAATCCCATAATTAGATTCTTGAAAATTACTGAAATCTAGCTCAAGGCGTATTCCTAAATGTGTCATATACTAAATCCCTTTTTGAAATGAATTCAGCACAAGATGTGTGTAGGCTGCATCCATTCTCGTCATGGCTCCTTGCTGGGCCCTTTTCCATTTAACCTTTGTGTTCTTGGAAGATACAAGAAAGAACCACCACGACCCTACGACCCACGCCACACCCGCGCCCTGTCCAACCTTGCGTCTTCCTGTGGACTGCTTCACTGAATTAGCAGCTGAGATCTTTCCCCCAGAGGACCGGTTATCAGCTGTGGTACAAACCTAACCGGGAAGAATAAGTCACCTTAGAAAGTGAACACAAAATCCTCAGTTTTTAAAAATTGTACCGAAACTGATTACTTCATGAACCGTGAACATCATCACAGAGCCGTGTTTTATTTATGTACATAGCTATTTATTAATAACTTTAACTTCCAGTCGTTACTGAACTCAGGAAAAACGTGACAACCTATTCATTTTTGTAAACACTATAAAAGGTGTTTAACCTCTCAGAAACCCAGAAGAGAAATGATATTGCATATTTCTAATTCCCCGTACTCAAACAGAGTAAATATTTACTCAAAAGAGCACATATTTTTTTCTTAAGAGGGACATAACATTAGAGTAGAACTGATGAATGATGTAACAACATATATACTCATCACTGGTTGGGTGCTCTTTCCCTTTATCTTATTAAACTACTAACCTACTTATGACTCGATGATGAGAAAATCAGTATGTCTGTCTACAGACTCATGACAGTAACTCTGACTGACAGTAACTGTGTCCTGTTGCCCACTGTCATGAGTATCAGGGAGCTAGCTATATACTTTCTTCCGACTTTATTGAAGAATAATTGACAAATAAAGTTGTCAATCTTTATTTGTCAATTGGGATTTGATTTACATTGGGGGAATAATTACCCACGGAGCACAATGGAGCCAACTCCATTGACCATAACTGTCATATGACACATTTTTGTCACTGGTTCATGCTCAACCCCCTTTAATGGAGTTAGTTGATTAAGTTCTGTAACTTTTGTTTCCTATTGATCAATGTTTAAAAAACAGTTGTGACCCAGACATTGCACAGAACCTGAACGTCGACAAATACATGCTTCTCTCCTGGGTCCTTATGTAAGGCATAAACACCTCTCTATATTTTTAATGGACTTCAGTTCTTTGAAAATGGATTGGTAATGATGTTTGTTTTATTACATATACCATAGTTCTTCCACACTGGGCCCTGCGTTTCCTTCATTTATTCCTAAATTTCTGTAGCTATTCAAATCTGTCTTTTGTTGGACCTCAGAGTTCTAGGTAAGTACTAGTGCCCCTTGGCTCACTTGCCAGGGGTCCACAGTATTGACACAGACTTCACTTTCTTGTTCTTTATTCAGTGTATTTTATTAAGAGATAAATCATTTTTTCAGGAATAATAAATATATATGTGTGTAAAAATAAATTTTTTAAAAGGAGCTTTAATATTCCTAAGCATGTGATATAAAATCATTTTCTAAAGAGTGACTAGTCTAGACCAGGTTTGCTAATCAACCTCAGTGTTGAATATATGGATTAGTCAACATACGGCTTCATTTTAACCTCTTTATCAGTAATCCGTGATTGGCATGGACTAATCTCGACCATCTGTCTATGGGATTATTTCCCTCAGCAACCCATCCTTTTCATTAAATAACCTCAATGTTGCATATGTCAATGAATACACATAATGCTTCATATTAATTGCATTTGGGGGCCATGGTTGACATCTACTGATTATATTTCACACTTTTTAGTAATACAGTGAACACCTTAAACCACCCAAAGTGAGACAAGAACACTTATGTTACTCACATGACCTCCATGTGCGAATACAGAGGTCCAAAGTAGAGTCCGTGACCACAAAGAATCTCAAAATCGGCTCACACGCATCCATTCTGAGGGGTGCAGAGCACAGGACATGATTTAATAAGGTCGAAACCTAATATCTCTTGATCCTTGCATTTACCTTTTAATTGGTCATTTAAGAAACCAGCAATTTGTAAACATGTTTAAATTCTGCAAAGTAAACAAATATCAGCAATCTTACCACTGACACAGAATGTGAACATCACCTATGACTTAAACACTGCCTATAAATCTCTAGCCAAAGAGGTAACACACTGGTATCATTTATTTCCTAGTGGGTATGAGTGTTTTCAATATACATTAGTAATATTTCTTGTTTCACTATATATTTTTATATTGGGACAAATGCTTCATGACCTTCATCTTGACTTAAGTAATGTGTTTATTATTTCACTGATCTAATTAAGGAGGGAAATGGAAGACATCTGTAATACTCTCCACAATAAAAATAAATTTTAAAAAATATTATGACATGTCAAAATGAAAAAAAAAAATAGAAAGACAATGCATGAACACAAATAAAAAACAAGACCCTGGTATATTGCTGACATCTGTCTAAAGGAGCCCTGAACAGGGCAATGGACCACATTGCTCGTGTGAGAACCTCAGAGTTCCAGACATGCGTTCTTCGTATACAACTCATACACCACCAGGAGTCATCCTTGATCCACGTTGTCTCTGTCCCTCCTTTCCCTCAGTCTTCTCTACTCGGTCCACTGACTAATTCATTATTTAATAAATATAACGTTAAGATCCTATTATTCATAAAAACTCAAGAAAAGCCTTATTGCCCTAATCTGTATACACAACCATTCTCACATAAATCTCCCTCATTACCTTATTTTTCATATATACATTCATCGATATCATCAATGTTGTATCAATCAGTAAAAGAAATCTCACATTTGTCACTGGGCTAGACTTGGCTTTGTTTGATCGTATTTTATACTTTTTAATGATACAGTGAATACCCTTGAAAACAAAACAACAACAAAAAACGTTGGAACTAAGACAAGAACTTGGACTGTTACTCACATGGGTCTCGTGCCTTTAAACCCAGAAGCAACCAGACAGCCCGGGAGCAGCGAAGATGCTGACATCAGCTCGAGTGTGACCACCCTGAGGGTTACAGAGCATAGCACAGGGCACGGAAAAGTGAAACCTAATCTCCATTGATCCCTGACTCCCATGGTTCATCTACTTCGACATTTAAGTACTTTTTGATCAATGATAGTATTTATTTGTTCTTCTCTTAATAAATTAAACATCAGAATTGTAACTGACTCAGAGTTGTGACTATTACTTATCACTTTATATATATATATTCTTAGTCGAAGATGTAATACACATGATCCATTTAATATTGATTTCAATACACATTAGTATTATTTTTCTGTACTATACATGTTAACAATGAGCAATATTTCACCCTCTTCATCCTTATTGATTTGGTCATTTATTCTTTCGTAATAATATTTTGTAAACTTATTAACACAAACCAAAAAAAAGAGCCTTATATATTCCTGACATCTGCTAATACAATCACTTCCAACAGAGATAAGGGACAAGATTACATGGTATTGGACCTCAGAGTCCCACACCCTTTAGTCTTCACTGTATATATGTGTGATTTATACGCCACCAGATGTCATCATCGGTACAGGCTGGGACTTGTTGCCTTCATTCTCATCTATATCTGTTTACTGATCAATTCATCAATTCAATAGTAATACTACTACTAATAATAACAAATATCTGTGAATCATAAATACTCATGGACAAGATCCTTCATATCTCTAATCTCTAGCTATAGAACTATTTGCCTCAATGCATATGCCTCTTTTATTCATCAGTTTCACTGATGCAAACACCTATCTATCAACACAAATGTTTCATGTCAGTTCTGTATTTATGCCAGGACGACTAGCTTTCTTTGGACATATTTAGTACGACTTCTTAAAATCACAGTGAACCCTCTAAACAAACAATCCAAACCAAGGGAAGAACTGAACTTTGACTCACGTGCACCGATACACAGGGACGACCTGTGGGCTCCTGACCACGGCCGAAGGCTTGGTTGGCCCCCGTGCGCCCATCCTGAGGAATACGAAGCAGAGCACAGACAACCTATTGAGGCTGTGTGCACCTTTCATTGAGCCGGCCACTCAGGAATAGAGTCCGTACTCATCAACAGACCAAACAATATCAAGACCTGACACAGACCAAGAATAAGAACTTGGACTACTGCTGTTGGCCGTATCGTTCTTAGCCAAAGAGGTAAGACATGTGGACCACTTGCATTTCTTAATGAACTGCAGTGCTTTCAATAAGTGTGAATAATTTTTAATGTCTCACTCTCTTCATCTTCATTTACTGATATTTGCACATTGATTCTTTTTTGAGCCATTTATTAAAACAGAATCAAAATTCATGAAAATAAACCAAGAACATGGTCCTTTTCATTCCCTAAGATCCCTGAGATCTGTCTATAGGTTCACTTCAGAGGCAATGGATGGTTTCGCTCTTGACTGGACCTCAGAGTTTCAGACACATTGTATTCATCATCATTCATGACTCGTACTCCACCAACTGTCATCATTGGTCCAGACTGTGGCCTCTTTGTCTTTCTTCTCATGAATTAATTCCTTCATTTATTAATTTTTAAAACCCTATAATTCACAAAAACTAAAGAATAAGAGCACGGAATATTTCACATCTGCCTATAGGATGATTTGCCACATTGTTCTCTCTTTCGTTAATGATCATCAATATTTCAGACCTACATTCGTAAGCATAACACTTCATTTTACACGTTTGGTGTTTTTTTGGATTATACTTCACACATTATTAGCAATACAGCGATTACCCTTTTTAAAAATTTCTTAAACAAATACAAGAATTTTAACCTTTACTCACATTCGTCTCTACGCTTTACACAGAGGAAACCATAGATCCCGTTACCATGGAAAACACTTCAACCAGCTTGAGTGTGTTGATTCTGAGGAGTACGAGACAGAGCAGATAATTAAACATTGAAACCTTTTCTCCATTAGACATTTTATTTCCCATTTCATTTTTCCAGTTATTTAGATATTTCATAATTTTTCAGAATATATATACATATAAAATATGAATTTATGTATTTAAAAAAATAACATCTTCAACTCAAGACTGACACAGGCTTACAAAACTGAATATTACTCATCAATGTCAGTGTCTATATAATCCTTAGAAAAAGAGGTAGTGCCCTTGGTCCATTTATTTCTTAACATCAGTTCCTTCAAATTTATATCAATAGTATTTCCTGCCTCATCATATATATTCATAGTTGATAAGGTGTCATCCTTGTTTGTTTAGTTATATATTTGTTTATTGGTTCTATCATTGATTCATTTATATTAATAGTAACATACGAGAAATCCATGAATCCAAAAGTATAAAAGTAAGATAATTTGCAAGAGAGGAAATAAGACTAGATTTCGTTTTGTTTTGGACCTCAGACTTCCAGACACATAGCAATCATCATTTATGACTCATCCGCCATCAGTCATCATCATTGGTCCAGGTTCGGGCCTCTTCCTCCTCTTTCTCACCTACATGTGTTTCTACATTAATTCATCAATCTACTAAGAATAATTACAGACATATCTGTGAATCATGAAAATGCAAGGACAGCCTTCAGGACCAAGGCCTCATTGATTATACCTCTTTTCATTAATCATCCTCATTACTCCACAGATAGACTAGTCAACATACATTTCCAGTTTAAACATTGGACCATGGTTGGTCTTTTTTCTTCACAGTTTTTAAATGACTACAGTGATACCCTAAACAAGGTACCCTAACCTAGACAACACCTTTGATGATTCCTCACACTGGCCTTCATGCTCCTCCAAGGAGCTCCTCAACATGGCAGATGCTGAAACCCCGGCAGGAGCTCTTGTTCTGAGAAGTACAAAGCAAAAGAGAGGAAAACAAGATGGAGAACGTATCTCCACCTTACATTTGGTTGATCACTTAGAATATAGTAATAAGGGATAATGCTGGATGTCAGACTTGCTAGTGCCCCAGAATGAGAGCTCTGGGAGGGGCAAGGCGTTGGAACCATTTATTTTGATAATGGGAGGTAGCATTTCCAGTTCCCTTGAATCATTTTTATTGCCTCACAGACTAAGAGTGTATGTTCTTCATCTCCGCTTTTATACATTTGTATATTCATTCTGAATTTGATCCATTTATACCAAAATCATCAAAATCCATGAAAACTAAGAAGACAGTCCCTTTATATTCCTAAAATCAGTCTATAGGATGATTTTATGCATGGTTCGGGTTTGGGTCTTTTTTTTTTCATTTATTTCTATATTTGTATCAAGTAAATCATTAATTCATTAATAATTAAATGAACACGATTCATAAAAATCCAAGTACAGGATCCTTGACTATCTCTCACATTTGACTACAGAATCATTTCCCACATACACTAATTCTTTTACATTAATCAACCTCAAGGTTGCACATTATTGATTAACATCATGTTTCATATCATATTAATCACTAGGCCATAGTTCACTGTTTTATTATGTATAATACTTTTTAATAATTCAATGAATACATTTAAACAAATGATGTGATCTGAGACAACTTCATGAAATTCAGTATTTTCAATAAATGTTCATCTTTTTCGTCATTCTTATCTGCATACATTAATTAATTCATTGATTCACTAATATTGAATTTTAGAACTGTATGATTCATAAAAAAGAAGAGTAATAAATATTCTTGATCTGCATGTAGGATCATTTGCCACACTGATATATCTCTATTAATTATCATCAATGTTTCATGTATGGATTAATAAAAAGAATGATTCAGACCAATCTCATATTTGAGAAAAAGAACTCTTTGAAGACACAGACTTTCCTCTATATAATACTCACATTGGTCTCTTCTCACTACACAAAGAGGGAACCACACAGCCCGTGACCATGGGTGATGCTTCAGTCCCCGAGTGCATCCATTCTGAGGAGTTCAGAACACAGCAGATGTTGAAAAAATTGAGACCTTTTTTAAATTGGTCCTTTTCCCCCTTATTTCATTTCCTCAGTCATAAAGGCATTGATTGTATTTCACGATCTATACATGTATGCGAACATGAATATTAATATAATGATAAGACTCTTTGGAAAAGGAAGTAATGCCCTTGGTCTATTTATATTGTAACATCAGTTTCTTCACTTTACATCACTAGTATTTCTTGCCTCACAATATGTATTCATGTAAGGCTTCATCCTTGTTTATTTAGTTATATATTTGTTTATTGGTTCTATCATTGACTCATTTATATTAATAGTAATATACTAGAAATCCATGACTCCAAAAAGGACAGGAACACTGGGATCATTTGTAAGCGAGGAAATAGCCTAGATTTTGTTTTGGACCTCAGACTTCCAGACACATAGCAATCATCATTTATGACTCATCCGCCATCAGTCATCATCATTGGTCCAGGTTTGGGTCTCTTCTTCCCCTTTCTCACCTACATGTGTTTCTACATTAATTCATCAATCTACTACTAATAATTAACACATATCTATGAATCACAAAAGGCTCAAGATCAAGAACCTTAGAATCTTTATAATTTTTCTTAAGAGTGATTGGCTTATTGAATTTTATTAATCATTATTTCAAAGACAGATTAGTCAACATTAACATTTTGTACTATTTCCAACTTAATCACTGTTAACACAGTTGTTAGTTTTTCTTATATTGAATACCTTTTAAAAATAGAGAGAATATGCCAAACAAATTAAAACTATCCAAAGTAAGATGAGAACACTGACTATTACTCACGTTGGTTTCCATGCTCCTACAGCGAACCACAGAGGTCGTTGACCAAGGCACAGTGCTTAATTCCGCCTGGGTTCCATTCTAAACAGTAGAAAGCAGAGTAGATGATAACATGACTGAGATATTTTCTCTATTGGTCCTTGCATCTACATTTCATTATTTGGTGATTAAGTTATATATTAATTTGGGTTAATATATATTTGATTTATTCTTAAGAAAAACAAACAATATTAAACTTTCACCAACCCCAATATTGGACATTATTCATATTATGTATAACAGACTTAGCTAAAGGTAACTCCTTTTAACCATTTATCTCTTAATTGACTTATCTTTCAATATTTATTAATATTATCTCTTGCATTACTACCTTTTTTCATAATTGGATGATGCTTTACCTTCTTCATCTTTATTTATATTAATAAGTTGATTCTTTTATTCACTGATTACGATAGAATAAAATCCATTAACTACATCCTTGTAAACTCCTAAATATGTCTATAAAAATGACTGCTAACTGGCGGTAAATAATTAGAATGCTTTTAAAGTTGGACCTCAGAGTTCCAGAGTAGTCATCATCAATGACTCATACGCCACCAGTAGTCATCATTGGTCCAGATTGACCTTTTTTATCCACTCTCACATTTGTTTCTTGATTAATTCATCAGCTTATCTGACCATAATAAAATAAACAACTATGAAGCACAACAAAACCTTGAACATGAGCCTTGACTAGTCCTACGTCTACCTATAGAATCATTTATTACATCAATATATTTCTTTCATTAATCACCCTCTAAGTTTCACAAAGGGATTACTCAGTATAATGCTACACCTCAATTCCATATTTATCAGTGGGCCATGGTGAGCTTTCTTTGGTTATAGTTGACACTTTTCAAATACAGAGTATATACCCATAAAACTCACATTTGTTTACATGCTCCAAACATACAGACAACTGGACATCTTGCGACCATGGAAGAATCTGCAACAGCTCCAGTGCATCCATTCTGAGCAGTACAAAACACAGAAGGTGATAAAAAGTTGAGACTTTAGGTGCACTAACTTTACTTTCCACATTTAATTTATTTAGCCACTTAAATATTTGCTCCTTTTCATAATGTACAATGCTTCACATATTCATATTTACTGATTTTATATGTGTTTAGTAACTCACTAATTTATCTATGCTCATAGAATCATTATCCATGAACATAAAAATAAAGAATGTAATCTTTGTTTGTTACTAACAGGTGCCAATAAGGTCATTTCCAACAAAGGAAATAAACCAGATTTCTTTTCTTTTTTATCCTCACCCAAGGGCATTTTTCCAGTTTTTGTTCAGGTAGAGTGGGAGGGAGAGAGAGGAAGAGAGAGAGAGAGAGAGAGAGAGAGAAACATCGATGTGAAAGGGACAGATCAAGTGGCTGCCACCCACACGACCAACCAGGGCCGGGGACAAACTGCAACCAAGGTACGGCCCTTAGCGGGAACCGAACCCAGTCTCTCCGGACCGCAGGCCAATGCTCTAACCGCTGAGCCAAACCGGCCAGGGCATAAACCAGATTTCTTTATGTGTTGGACCTCAGAGTTCCCGACACAAAGTATTCATCATCCAGGACTCATACGCCACCAGTCGTCATCATTGGTCCAGAATTTTCCCTTGTCATCTCCATTAATTTCTAAGTGTGTTTATTGATTAATTCATCATTTCACTAATAATGAAATAAATAACTGAATACAAAAACTTAAGGGAAAAATATGTACGTAGCCTTAATAGCTATGTGATCATTGGTCACAATGATTGTATCTTTTATTAATCATTGTTAATTTTTCAAATATTGATTAATCAAAACAATGTTCAAATGCCATATATTAATATGACATAATGACAATGTCATATTTATCACTAGGGCATGGTTGGACTTCTTGGATTCTTTTAACAATACAGTGAATATCCTTTCAAAACTACCCAACAGAGACAAAGGCGTTCACTAGACTACAGGGTCTTCATGCTCATGACACAGAAGCAAGCCCAGGAAGGATGCTGAAGTCAGCAGGGAGGGTTCATTCTGAGAGCACAAAGCAGAACAAATGATGCAAAGATTGACATATTCTCTCCATTAATCCCGAATTCTCCTGTCATTCTATTAGCCGTTGGGGTCTATATTAAATTGATATATTTTTTTCTTGAGAAAACAATGTTGAAGAAGGCACAGACAAAACAAGAACAGGGATTCTTATTTTAAGTGTATGTATCATTCCTTAGTTAAAGAGGTGATACCTTTATTTCTTAATGGACTACAGTGTTTGTAATATATATTAAAGGTATTTCTGGCCTCACCATATATTTGCATAACTGGACAATATTATACCCTCTTTATTTCTTCATATATTTTTATTCATTCTTTCCATTTATAATAGAATCAAATTCCATGAAAACAAAAACTAAGAACAAAATTCTTGAATATTCCTAACATCTATCCACAGAATTGTTTCCAACAGAAGGTTTAGACTAGATTTCTTCTTGTGTTAAACCTCAGAGTTTCAGGCAAATAGTAGTCATCATTCAGAACTCATCCTCCACCAGCCCATGTTGGCCCTCACTATCTTCAATGGTGTCTACATGCTTTTACTGATTAATTCATCTACTCACTAATAATAATTTCAAAATGCCTAGAGGTCATAACAACTTGAAACAAGATCCATGACTATTTCTAATATAAATATATCTATACAGTAGGAAGTAACTCTCTAGAGAATATATATATATATATACACACATATATCTTTCATTAATTGACCCCCAAAGCTTATGCTTGCTATATAAATTAATGCAATACTTTAACCCTATTTTGCTATTTGAATGTGACTAAACTGGGTCTTTATAAAGGGATGTTTAACTCAACTGTGACTCAGAAATAAAACTGAATAATACATTTTACATTAATTAATTGAAAAATTAAATGTTAAAATGAATAAATGATCTTGCTTTTGTCTCTATAATTGACCGTAGATGTGCTGAATTCGCCCACACATAACCTTCATTTTATTTGTATATGTAGCTATCTATTTCTTTTCAACAAGTTAAAACCCATGACAAACCATCAAGTAAGAAGCAGTTCCTTTGTTACTTACTGAGGTTTCTACAATCCTTTAATTGAATCACTGTGTGTCCGTTCTGTAGAGTACAAAGCAAATGTAAAAATAGATTAAATTATATAGATAGATAGATGGATCAGCCTAGATTCAGATTTTTAAAATTGATCCAAGCCAACAATATTTGATTAGGAATAAACCTTAGTGCTTGTTATATATTAGAACTCTGAATAATTTATTGACTGATTGATTTAAGTATGCATTGATATAATGAACACCTTTGAAACCAACACCAGACAAAAGAATGAGAACTATAACTATTACACATATCTGTTTATATGTCCCCTACTCAGCCAGATAAGAACTATTACTTTCTTTCTAAATATATCTTGCTTGGGAGAAATTAAGTTAATCTGAATTCTAGATCTGAGCAGATTCTCAGTAATTGTCTATGCCTGCCCCACCTTTGTATATGTATGTATGTATATCGTCACACGTTGAGTCATTTATTTTCCATCTTTTAAAGAAATCACCCCAACAAATTTAGAATCCCTGTCTTAGTACATATATTCACCATTGCAAAAGTGTAGGAGCCCAGGCCTGTTTGCTCTACCTGGAGAGCAATTAGGTGGAACTGTATTAATCACTCTCCCTGTTTCATAACAAATGATCCTCACTGGTCCAATTTTGCCATCTTTCAAATATTCGATTAAAATATTATTGTTTTATAAATTAATAATAACATCATTAATATTTGTGACTCCACAAAATCAGGACAGTGTTAATGCCCGTCCATATATTCATTAGGCACCTAAAAAGATCAGATCGTCTTTGTAAATGAAGAAATGGTGACAATCATTAATTAATCATAACTGGTTGTGTGACACATTCCACATAGGTCCATGTGTAAGTCTCTGGCAACTATGCAGTTATTTAATCACTAACTCACTTAAGTTGAGGCTTCAACCTTCTCTATAAAACAGAAATCCAACAACCCAACCCAGAAAAATAAGATGGACTCGTATATCCATTTACCTAAGTGCTCTTTACCTAAAGGAGTCAACTTTAATCAATGTCTTTATTTTACTGAAAATCAGTGTTTTAGAAAAGTACTGATGATTTTTATATTAGTTATCTTACATTACATACTCTCTTATTCAAACCTGGAATAACCCATTTTCTTGGTATTCATTCACATGTCTCTTATTCAGTCATCGTAATTCCTAGCAGAAGCTCGTGTGCTGTACAGATCACAATGAAATGTTTTGGTAACGGACCTCAGAGTTAAAGGGTTTAATCAAAATCCTTGATTTCAGACACCCCAGGGTACTCATCATTGATCCAGGCCAAGCAATCTTTTTCTTCATTTTATACCTTTGTTTATTGATCCATTCATTGATCCACTAACAGCAATGAAATCAATATTCATAATTTTCTAATTAACGCCAAGAATAGGATCCTTGGCTAGGACCAAGATCTCTTTATAGGGTCTTTTCCCATGAACGTGAGTCTTTTCTCAACAGACCAGATCTTTCTTTGCAGTGGCCATCAGTGAAGTATGTATGGATCAATTAACATCCTTGCTTCACACCTAGCCTGTCCCAATGCCTTCCATCTCCATCTGTCCTCCTTCCTCAGTGAGGAGCAGCGCTGTAGAACTTTGCAATAATATCAATGTGCTGTAACTGGGCTCTCCAAAAGAGTCGCCATTAGCCACAGGTAGCTCAGGACTGCAAATGAGGCTAATGAAAATGAGAAACTGAATTTAACATTCATTTGACGTTAATTATTTTACATTGAAATGGTTACCTGTGGCTAGGGGCAACCACATTGGACAGTGTAGCCCTAGATTTTATTGCTGGATAAATGTTTAAATCAAATGCAGTGCAAAAATAAGATGGATTACTAGTCAGCTTTGAAAACAAATGAAATGTTGTCCATCCTATTTTCAACCACAATTGTACTAAATTGGATTGCACATACTCTTTGGGTCCTAACGCATTGCTATTATTGGTCTATGTATGGCTGAACTTAAACTCAATGAACACTAACTAAAAATTCACCCCAATAGACCAGAGCACTGAACCATTATTTACTTTAGTCTTTAGATTTCTTACCTTAACAGTCAAGATCTTCATCAGCAGAGACTGACGTCAACCATGGTCTTCAATCTGTGGAGTCCAATAAATGCCAATGTTCAAAATAACGAACAATCCCGATTTACACTGATTTAAAGACTATTACTTGTGTGGTCCTAGGTTAGTCATGAAGTCGTTTCAATTCTCATTTCACCATTGAAAAATTCAGTTTATACCATAAAGTATGTATGTCCATGATTAAGGTCCCTGAATTTCTGCTGTGAGCTCATTTCCATAGAGGAAACAGGTAAACACTGTGATAACGGACCTCAGAGGTACAGATGGCTTTAATCAATATTTTTGATTCAGACACCCTCCAATCTCATCATTGGTCCAGGCTTAGCCCTCTTTTTTCAATTTTTTTATACTTTCATTTTCCC